ACACCAACAACACTAGACTGGAGACATGTTGACACCAACAACACTAGACTGGAGACATGTTGACGCCAACAACACCAGACTGGAGACATGTTGACACCAACAACACCACAGTGGGGACATGTTGACACCAATAACACTAGACTGGATACACGTTGACACTATCAACACCAGACTGGAGACACTGTTGACGCCAATAACACCAGACTGGAGACACTGATGACACCAACAACACCAGACTGGAGACACGTTGACACCAACAACACTAGACTGGAGACATGTTGACACTAGCAGTACAGCACCAGGCTGGAGACACATTGACACCAACAACACCAGACTGGAGACACGTTGACACCAACAACACCAGACTGGAGACATGTTGACGCCAACAACACCAGCCTGGAGACATGTTGACACCAACAACACCAGACTGGAGACATGTTGACGCCAACAACACCAGACTGGAGACATGTTGACACAAACAACACCACAGTGGGGACATGTTGACACCAACAACACCAGACTGGATACACGTTGACACTATCGACACCAGACTGGAGACACTGTTGACACCAACAACACCAGATTGGAGACATGTTGACACTAGCAGTACAGAACCAGGCTGGAGATAAGTTGACACCAACAACACCAGACTGGAGACACGTTGACACCAACAACACCAGCCTGGAGACATGTTGTCACCAACAACACTAGACTGGAGACATGTTGACACTAACAACACCAGACTGGAGACATGTTGACACTATCAACACCAGACTGGAGATATGTCGACACTTTCAACACCAGGCTGGAAATATGTCGACACTATTAACACCAGACTGGAGATATGTTGACACTATTAATACCAGGATGAAGACATGTTGACACCAACAACACCAGACTGGAGACTTGTTGACACTATCAACACCAGACTGGAGACATGTTGACACTATCAACACCTGACTGGAGATATGTCGACACTATCAACGCCAGACTGGAGATATGTCGACACTATCAACAACAGACTGGAGATATGTCGACACTATTAACACCAGGCTGGAGACATGTTGACACCAACAACACCAGACTGGAGACACGTTGACACCAACAACACTAGACTGGAGACATGTTGACACCAACAACACTAGACTGGAGACATGTTGACGCCAACAACACCAGACTGGAGACATGTTGACACCAACAACACCACAGTGGGGACATGTTGACACCAATAACACTAGACTGGATACATGTTGACACTATCAACACCAGACTGGAGACACTGTTGACGCCAATAACACCAGACTGGAGATACTGATGACACCAACAACACCAGACTGGAGACACGTTGACACCAACAACACTAGACTGGAGACATGTTGACACTAGCAGTACAGCACCAGGCTGGAGACACATTGACACCAACAACACCAGACTGGAGACACGTTGACACCAACAACACCAGACTGGAGACATGTTGACGCCAACAACACCAGCCTGGAGACATGTTGACACCAACAACACCAGACTGGAGACATGTTGACGCCAACAACACCAGACTGGAGACATGTTGACACAAACAACACCACAGTGGGGACATGTTGACACCAACAACACCAGACTGGAGACACTGTTGACACCAACAACACCAGATTGGAGACATGTTGACACTAGCAGTACAGCACCAGGCTGGAGATACGTTGACACCAACAACACCAGACTGGAGACACGTTGACACCAACAACACCAGCCTGGAGACATGTTGTCACCAACAACACTAGACTGGAGACATGTTGACACTAACAACACCAGACTGGAGACATGTTGACACTATCAACACCAGACTGGAGATATGTCGACACTTTCAACACCAGGCTGGAAATATGTCGACACTATTAACACCAGACTGGAGATATGTTGACACTATTAATACCAGGATGAAGACATGTTGACACCAACAACACCAGACTGGAGACTTGTTGACACTATCAACACCAGACTGGAGACATGTTGACACTATCAACACCAGACTGGAGATATGTCGACACTATCAACGCCAGACTGGAGATATGTCGACACTATCAACAACAGACTGGAGATATGTCGACACTATTAACACCAGGCTGGAGACATGTTGACACTATCAACACCAGACTGGAGATATGGTGACACTATTAATATCAGACTGGGGATATGTTAGCACTAACAAGACCAGACCGGAGACATGTTGACGCCAACAACACCAGACTGGAGACATGTTGACACTAACAACACCTGACTGGAGACATGTTGACACTAACAACACCTGACTGGAGACATGTTGACGCTAGCAGCACCTGAGTGGGGAGAATGTTGCTTCGTAAGGCACTCTGTGGTAGTCAATTCATAACCAAGAAAAACAAGATATAGTTATGAAATAGAGACAGGTCTGGGGTTACAAAAGGAAAGCGCGTGTATGAAAATTTTGATTATTGTAGCGTCCAATTTAGAAACCTTGGATTATGAATTACACATGTAGTTAAGTGTGGTTAAAAAAAGATTTAAATGTAATCGCTAGAATTATCTGTAGCGCGGCAAAACTTGTGTTTACTAGTGTTTATTTCTACACATCAACAGTATCAGCGGTGCAGTCCTGGGCCAACATAGATACATACCTACAATGGTATACAACACTGGTTAGTCAGGGGCTATTTAACTCTAACATACAGATCGAAGATATCCAAGGCTAAAACGCTTTAATTAAATCTATTCATTGCGTTGAGTTGAGGATTTGAACAAAGGGCCGAGGCTGCCGGCGAGAGGTTCCGCAAATTATGGCATGTCAATGCTTGTAGTGCGTGTAAAAGATCGCTCCCTTTTTTGAAAGAATTCGGCATTTAAGTCTCTGTCATAATAGCGGAATTTGTGCTACTGCTTAGCTGGAAAATAGGAATTAATTTGGTCGGAACCATTTTTAATCCTAGGTGGAAAATAATTGCTAGATTTACAAATACCCGTGTGAAAAAGGTGATTATTTGTAAAGGAGATTAGTGCGGATAAACTTTTTTATACGGTCAAAAGATTTACAAGATGAGTTTGTTCTACCTCCTAATAAAATACATAAAATAAAGTTATGAGATGATGACTTAATTGAATATATCTGATATGTATAAGCTAATGAAGGTAAGTCCTATTATACTCAGCCGTCGGCATATGTAGCGATATCATCCACGATACTAATTAACTACTGTTGACCGTAATCACCAGGTTTATTAGACCAGCTTTCTCATACAGTCAAAATCGTTCCGAAATTTGTAATGTGCACCATTGTTATAAAAAGCGAGATTTTATAGTTTCAATTTTGTGTCGTCCCAGCCACGATAAAAACACATACAGATAACGTGTACATGAATGACTCTCCCATCAATATGGACCACCAATGTAAGAGATGTTACTAGGTAATACTGCCATAGACGTAGCAGATATAGAATTACATACAAATGTACCTAATCAATTTATACATCAGATGTGACGTAAAATGTCTGGTATTTCACGTTATGACAAAAATTTTGAAATTCCATCATCATCCTTTTTTTTAGAAATATAAAAAAAATCTTGCATAGCAATGTTGCTACGTTAGGAATTTGATTGACATGTCGGACGGCGTTCACGTGTCCCCAGGGTAAATGTTTCCCGTACAAATCCCGGTCTGATTATAGATCATCGAACTGATTGATAGCCTGACACGCCAGCTATACTGAACAGAACACACATTTACTGGTCGGCTACGCTAGCGCTTTACGCATCTACAATAATTGTTTTTTTGTTTTGTTTTTTGTTTTATTTATTTGTTTTTTATCTTAATTATAGAGACACATAAATATGTTTATAAGAAACAGGGCAAGACCCATACACACCGGTATTAGAAAATTTTATCATTGAATCGAAACGAATTTCCATCCAATATTCTGGGAAAAAATGTAGCTATATCTGGGCAGGGACGTCTATCTGTGATCTGGGCTGAGCAGCTTGCTTATTGAATTATATTGATTCAGTAGTATTTCTTTCATCTAAAACATTCCGATGAAATGATAAATTGAATGAAGTATATGTGCGCGTGGATGAAAAAAAAACTGTAATTGAATTAGTTTACATTAGATGGCAACCCACTACGACGGAAATATCTTCTTCGCGAATTAAAAAAATGTGAAAAAAGTCAGAAATCAATTGATTTATCAGACGATACGTAAATTGACCTTATTAGTTAATTGTACGGTAGATGCGTGTAACTTGTGTCCAATCCTGCTGCTTAACGGCAATAAAATATCTTTAAACTAAGTATAAGATGGTCTTATAATTCAACCTGTATCAAACAGTGCTGATCTATATTTTCAGTTATTAAAGATAATTATGCGAAGGTAAAGAATAAAATGCTTCTAGTTTTTCTAATGTACATCTTAACGATTCGAGTAATAGAGTACTCATTGAAGAATTTTGAGTAACATATTACATTTGAAATATTCCCCACATCCAGAGTATTTCCATCATAAACGAAAATAGTTACAAGTGTCATGTGTATCACACAGAAGACACTGATCGAATGTGTGGTAGCATAAACGATATTTTCCGGTTTGGTCACTCTAGCTGTCAAAAAAGACATATTTGACATTTTTTACCGCACTATGTGTCATGAGAGAGGTCACTTGCTTTTCTGCAAACATCTGTTCCGAAAAACTGAAGTAACACATTACTGATTACTTCTATTCGAAATCTAAATTTTGAGTTTGATGTTCGTACAGTAACGAAGTAAATTTAACAACAGCGTACTCCTTGGTTTCTGCTACTGGTACAGTAGCGCCGTAAACCTGTGTGTATTGCAGTGTGTATATTAGGCTACAACACGACCTGAACACCCCTCTCTAAGCTCCGAGTTCATTGGTCCGGTCACTGACATGCGCAGACAGCAGCACGTGTTCATAAACAAATTTTCATGAAAGAGGGATCACAGAACTATATAGTAGTGACTTGTAGTTTGGAATCTAACCCTTCTTAACTCAGGTAGTTTGCTACAGAGCTCAACGCTTGTTAACATGGGAACTGAAACTAACAAAGATGAGCGTAACACGCCAGAATATTTAGCACAGTTACTAAAAGACAAGAAACAAATTCAGGCATTTCCGAATGTTTTTGTACACTTGGAAAAACTTTTAGATGAAGGTAAGTTCACGTGAAGCTTGAAAACGTGCGAATTTCTTGGTGTTTCTCGCCACAAATTTCGCAGAATTTGTTATTGATAATTCGGAGTGTTTATATTAATTGGCACGAACGGAAAACGAATTGGAAATTACTCGTGTCTGTGAATTCTGATGGTGTATCTTACTTGGGCCTGGCCCACATGGAGGGGAACATGTCTACCCAAAGTTTTTGGACTAAAAATAACACTAGCAATTCACTTCGGAAAAGTTACTAAATTTCTCTTAAGTTGACTTTATGTTATATCAACTTTGAGTTTTTGCTAATTTCTAATGATTGCGACCAAATTCTGGGCTATTGTGTGGGGAGTTAGCTACATATTCACCGCATACCTACACAAAGCGAACGGCCCAGATTTTGGCAGCCATTTTGAAACTTCTCCCAGTCACTGCACACAGCTTGGAGTGTTTTTACACTGCGTGACTCATTCTTACTTCTTGATTTAAAGATTTCTCTGATTTTCTTTAAAATAATAACATTCTGACACCGGACAGTCTCAGTTTTGAGTGATATCAACCCGTAATTCCCGCGGTTTCCCTTATCTCCAGATTGTAAATATTACCTGTTGATAAGGTATGATAAATTGGCTCAACTGATTTGCTCAGGTAGGAAAAGGTAAAATATTTGTTCATACGCGACAGAAAATGGTTGAAATTTATTTTAAGCTAAAATAACAATTTTCCTTTTTTCAGTTAATCTTGAAATTGATAATGTGCAGTTTGATGACACTTAACTTTACAAATTGTCTTAGAGGTTGTTTATTACGTTGAACAAATGATTAGACACTAAATTATGAACGGGGTCGATTTATGAGTAAGTGGCAGGTTAAACAGTTGTGTAAATAATAATGATGATCTCGGGAAATAATTCTGAAATCTGTGCTTTAAACAAATCTCATGGTAGGCCTATAATCAACTAATCAATAGAAAATTTGTCAAAGAACACTCTTATTTACATTAACATGATTGGATCAATAATATGTATTGCACGTTTTGTTGGGTTAAATGCCTGGACTATTGGCTTATATGTGTAACCTAGGTTGGCCTATACCCATGTATATATGGTTATTTAGGCTGTTCATTGAGCTACTGTATGATGTATACTATTGTAGTAATATCTAAAATTGTATTGAACATTTTTACATACTAAGCAGCATCAAATGACCATGCACCCTTTTCCCTATTGAAATCACCTGTCCACAGCACGGGATGTTTTAGCATGTCTACCTCTTAACCAGTCCATCATTTATGCTTGTCCGTCACTTCTGGTAACACTCATATGTCTAATATTTATTATCTGCATCTCTCTTGCTTGATTGTCAATTTTTTTGCGACATGTTGTCCATCTGAAAGAAATTGACAAAGGTTTGAGTTTGTAAGAAAAAAGTATGGGTGCAAATCACGTCACATGAATTATTAATAACCTAGTTTTCATTAAATGTATTTCTCCAATATACAAGAGTCTTTCATCATTTAACCTGTGGTAGCTATTTAGAGTATTTTGTGTAAAAAAGTAACATTTTTCCCACCATATTTTACATGTTCTGTACCATATATAATGCAGTCTTCGGTGTGCCAACATCAGAGCACTGGGTTACCATCTAATCTACTAATATCCCTCCCTATCAACAACTATTTACTTGTTGTTTGACACCCATTAAAGGAAATACTCTTGAGAAAATTGTGATCCCAATATGAGAAAAAAAGTGTTTCCAATGAGGAGGATGGATTTACGAGTGGCCAAAGTGCTGAAATTGTTGGTGATACTTCAACATAAAATATCAGCTACACAGAACAGTAACAGGTATGGTAAAACATGTATTTTGATGAATTGTGGCAGATAAATGTTATTTTGAATTTTGTCATTGTTTTGACCAACTTTAAATTTGAAAGCTATACTATGCAAATACTATCCCTTTGAAATGTTGTCATTGTGTTTATTCAGCATTAAAAAAGGTGGACTAGTAATTATCATTTACATACATCCTCCAGTTGTCGTGGAGATACATTTCCCAAATACTGGTATTGGTATACCAACCTTTGTAATACAACGTACAGCGTGCAAATTGATATGATGTGACTTTTTTGTGTTTGAACAACGATCTGCTTCACAATTGGATTGGAAACATATCGTGCAACTCATCATGGATTTACTGGGCTTAGATTGACTGCAATCAACACGGAAAGACGGATACTGATGCATTCAATATGCCATTACGGATAACAATTTAGGAACTCTCTTTATGGGATGTTCCAGGTTGCTCTGTTCAAGACTGATCATCGAAGCTAAATGTCATGATGTGCATTACATTGGAATGATATACTGCTATAGATTTTATTACACATGTTGTATATTTATTGCTGAACATAAATGAACTTTTAGAAAAGGAATTCATGTGAAAAAGGTAAAGGTTAAGGTATTACAATGACGTCTGTAGAAAAAAAGTTGAATATTATGCCTTTTAAAACCGATCCCTTTCTATGTATCAAAACTATATACTACAGAATATTTACATACATAATAACTTCCTGAACTGAGCCGACTTAAATTATATTATATCAAATTATTTAAAATTAGATCGAAAGCAATTTTGCAGTATTAGTCTTGCAGTCTTTTTAATTTGCTTTATTTCACAAATCATTTTTTTAAATTTGATTCATAAGACACATGCTGTTTGTCAAATTTAGACCTAGGATGTTAAGATAAATCTTCATAGAAAAAACACAGACTTTGAAATCTTGAAAATAGATCACATTCTAGAGCATTGAGCTGCTGACATTGGCCTAGTGTGATTATTGAAAGATAAGCCTTGCACTGGCAGTATGTAATGGGGAGGATTTGAGACTCCATGTGAAGAGGACAGAGACAGGCTTTGTAAGTCTCCACTCTATGGCTGTGCCTGTTGGCCTGGAAGGGTGAATAATCGGTGTGTAATTACAAACCTACACAGATACTATATATTTCATACCCCATTGCACAAGAAGACCTGACAGTACCCATTCCAGATCAAGGTTGAGTGGAAAATCACAAAAACCTTCCTGATAAGTGATACTACAACATTTATCTCTGGACTAGTCAGTGTTATTTAAACATTCTTTCATAGATGTGTTTTAAAACTAAATACAAGAAAAATTACGCGCCTTTTGTAATATTGCACAACTTTACACTTAAAACTTTTTTTGTTAATATTGTTTATATAGAAATGTCGTTTGGATAATTACTTGTTATAGTGTAAAGATTGTAATTTGAAAACTGTTCACATGATTATTTCAACTCCTGCTTTAAGTTTTTTATGTGACTCACTGCAGGTGCATACATTGTAACTAATACCATGTGTATACAATATCTGCTTTGAAGTTAAAACATTCTTATGATAGTCTTGCGTCTGACATATGAAAAAATAGGGATATGCGTGCAGGATTATTTAAGGTTTTATACAGGTTCAAGATCACAACCAATGTTTTCTGTCCAATGAATATTGTGATAGACCAAATTTTGAGAGTTCTGCTTGTTGAATAGAGTAAATGATCATATATTGGCAAATCTTCATGTTCAATGTTTAATTTTGGACTGCCATTGTCTGCTATTTTAAAATCTTACCGTTTGCATTGTCATGTCTGTTAGGACTCCTTTCATAATAATCATGAGATTTGACAGTGTGATGTATTTAATACTTACAAAACACTAAAGTTGTCACTTATTTTGACATCAAATTGATGAACTGGTTTTCATTGTTGGACTACCACAGGAATCTATACTTGTGCAGGGTAACTGTGAATTCCAGGACAGATATCTAGATATGTTTGTGGTTGTGATTGTTGTAGCAGTCCGTCTGAAAGCCATTCTACTGCTATACACAGAGCTGTTCACAAGATCAATACACATTCACTGGCATGGTCAGGAATTTGGTTTTAAAGTTCAAAAAAAGTGTCAAGAAGTTGAAGAATTGGTAATGTAGTTAAGAATTACTATGGTTTGGGTTCTGGTATTTGATGTGCACTGAACATAAATGTGCAATTCAGCATCGATTATTTGATACTGAACTTTTTGCAAGGAATTAAACATAAATATCATGCAGAGGTCATTGATGGAGAAATCACTATAACAGTATCCTACCTGCAGTCTGGTAGAGGAAGGCTTATGAAAACAATTATTTTAACAGCAAATGATATATTGGAAAGAATTAGAACCACATGTCAATTGACCAAGGCCGCTGTAGATCGGCACATTCTTACTACAAAAAGATCTCCATCAGCAGTAAGGCTGGTTGTAGATGCCCTGCTGGGCTGGCGGCCTGTTGAGGTTTCTGGCCTCCTGTGTGTGCCAGCCCTTCCCAATCTGGAGCATGTGGAGTTCCCACAGTCCTCATTAAAAGGGCCATGTGGGACTGGTCAGAAAGTCTCGGGGAGGGGGAGAGGATGTCAAATCATATATCAGTACATACATGTGCTGAAATTTAGAAATTGAGCTATTTTTGTATTGGATTTAAAGGGAACCTTGTTGACAATATAACAATATTTCAATTTGTAAACATGGCTGATTCAGATTCTTTATGAAAGTTGCAAGGGTTTTGTTATTTTGGGAACAAGTGACATTGCTCACTTGAAATCTTTTTCTTGGTGAAAGCTTTAAAGAGATTGAAATGTATGAGTCTTTTAAACTTGTTTGCAGTTGGTCAATATAGAGAGGTTCACAGAAATTGTCCAGGTTTATGAAGAGGGGATTATTTACACCTGTAACCATTTAAAGACTACTTGATCTAGCTAGGTAGCAGTGTTGGTGAAACTTAATTTGAGTAGAACCAATTTTTATCAGTCGTCACTCTAGGAACCGATAATTTTTAGTAGGACGTTGTTTTGAAAATTATGAATCATTCTAACAAATGAGAGTCTTGCTGTCTATTTCAGTATTTAAAGAAAAGATATTGAATCCATTAGAAATTACTACCTTGCTTGGTGTACAAA